GGTACGTGATATTGGTTTGGTTGACGATTAGAGTTTCTATGTCTGGCTTCTTGCCATTGGTTGTTGTAGTTGGGGAGCATAATGAAAATAACTTGAGGTTAGAAAGGGAATGTACAGCGGATGTAACAGGGGGAAACTGTATATGCTAGCGTGAAAATGTTGGGATCAAATTATGCAAATAAGTCAAACTGGGTTTGGGGATATATAAAGTAAGATGAAAAATGCAAAAATATATATTTAGGTGATAAATAACGCTAACAATGATGTGAAAAATTATAACAAGTAAAACAAAAACTTACGCAATTGACACTTGACAATATAATGGGGTACCTGTTTGCAAGATTTAAGGAAATTTCAGCTCATAATTAAGAAAGATCACCCAACGGCCTTGCAAGAACAGAATTTGGCACACAAAAATACAAAACCAGTGGGATATGGCAAACCAAGTTCCAATTCAAATCCGACTAGTGTGCGCAGGAAAGCGCCCTTCACGTCGGAGGGTAGAGAGATCTTTCGTAACTTTAATAATATGTGTTATAGAAAAGAATGTAGATTAACATACAATTGTGCTATTTGCTTATCTAATCAACATTCAGCGCTTGATGGTCACGGTCCTAATGTAAAGACACAGGTGCCTCAAAATTTTCAACAACGGACTGCTTAGATCAACAGTGCTCTTCAGGAGTTATTCCCCTTTATAACAACTGTTTGGATTATCCTGCTTGGGAACGGCTCCTGCCAGCAGATTATGACGAAAGGGAATTTTTACTCTCGGGAATTAAAGACGGTTTTCCCTTAACTACTCAGTATGGCCCACATTTACCAGTTGATAGAGATAATTACACCTCTACATTCACTTATCGTGCCAAAGTCGAAAAACAGATACTTTTTGAGCTGTCTGTGGGTAATTATGTGCCCGTGTTAGAAAAACCTACAATAATAAGTTCGCTGGGGGCCATACCGAAACCAAACGGTGATGTGCGTCTCATACACGATGCGAGCCAACCAGTGGGGAATTCATTAAACTTACTCACCTCAGACACCAACTGCTCATACATGGACCTAAAGTATGCTCTTAAAATTATAACTCCGAACTGTTTTTTAGCCAAAGTGGACCTCAAAAGTGCATATCGCTCAGTACGATGTCACCCTTCTAAAAATTCTTTAACTGGACTGAAATGGATTTTTACCGGAACCAAGGAGCCTGTATATCTATCTGTATGATGCCAAATTACCCTTTGAACATGCGCGAAGCCCAAAGATTTTTCAAAAGCTCAGTGCTGCAGTATGCTTCATTATGAAATTCAGATACAACGTTACTTGTATTGCGTACTTGGATGATTTCCTCGTCATCGAAAACTCCTTGGCATTGTGTGACGCCAATGATGTATGGTGGACATTCTTTTAGGCGGGGTGCAGCTACTTGGGCCAAACAATCTGGTCTCTCGGACAAGCAAATCCAAACTTTAGGCTACTGGTCAAGTTCCTGCTTTGAACGTTACGTTGACTCTGACACCCTTAGCCGCTTGGGTGCTCTAATACTTTTACATCTAAACTTCCCAACTTCTAAAAACCTTTCTGTCACAAAATCCACTATTTGGGGTTTGGGAGTTTTAATATTTGTAATATATGTTGATATTATTATGTTTATGTGTTACTTTGTATTACATTGTTGTACTTTGTAATTGTTAATTAAAATGTAGTGCCAATTTCATATTGCTCTTTCATTTGCCTTTGCTTGAAGATCGTCAGGTAAATGAAAGATTTACATGTAGTAGTAAATCTATTTTTAGATGACGAGTCCTTCATCTTAACCTTTGTGCAAAGTTCGCTGCCTCCTTTTCAGAGCAACTCACGCTTCACGCTTCCTCCATTTTGCCTAGCGGCTTGTTTGTGAAGTCTCTTGAAAACCCTCCCACCCTCCCAGTTGTACGACTGAGGGTCCTGTATGATTAAATGCTTTAATCCATTGCTTTCTTTTGGAGTTTTAATATTTGTAATATATGTTGATTTTATTATGTTTATGTGTTACTTTGTATTACATTGTTGTACTTTGTAATTGTTAATTAAAATGTAGTTTCAATTTCATATTGCTCTTTCATTTGCCTTTGCTTGAAGATCGTCAGGTAAATGATAATATTGTTCATAGTAAACTAAAAACAATCAGTACATAACAGATACTATACTTCTTCTCGAACAGAAGAAAACCCAATATCAATACCCTTAATCCTAATTTCTAAATAAAGTGTCTGCTCCACCCTAGGCCTGTACATTTGGGAGAATCAAATCCTCCCTTCCCCGAAACCTAACGAAGACCCTAAAGGCAGCTGGACTATATTTAGCATAAAAGAAAACGGCACCCTTAATTTGAAATACTTTTTATTTCCTATCCGGATGTGCAGACATGCGCAGAAAGTGGATGACATGCTCTCCCTAATCGCATCTTTAATACACCTCAATTATTATTATTATTAATTGTTTTTTTCTGCTTATGTTTGTTTTTGTATGTTTAGCTTTTTTTGTGGTGAGAGGGGTTCACACATTTTTTAAATTAACCTTTAAGTTAATTAACCTTATGCATGTTTTCCTAAAACCAATAACAATCGATCACTGTGGTAGCACCAGTCGTCTAGCGTCCCGTTGCAGTCGCAATTTTTCTTCTCATTTTTCCTAGCATAATGCATCACATAAAACACTGATATTTGTTTGAAATTTTATAAGGATAAGATGAAATGTGGGATGTATTTACTTCAAACGGAGGCGACATCTGCCTTCCGGGCCCCCAAATGCTCGATTAAGAGGCAGTTAATTAGAAGATGTTTTTCTGATACAGAAAAGTAGACTACCTCTTCAGAAGATTCTACAAATAATATATTGCTTCTGTTTGGATTTCCAAAGATACCAATGTGAAAAGTTGTTGCCGGAAGTAGACCAACGATCAGTTATTGAGTGGTACAACATTTACAGAGATATATGCACCAAAGATTTGTTAGCAAATCTATCGAATTTAGGAGAAGAGTCGATAGTGATATAATTGAACTTGATGAGAGTCTTTTTTGTTAACAAGAGGAAGTATCACTGGGGAACAGGGAACCAGAAATATTGGGTATTTGGCATGGTGGAACGTGGTAGCAGAAAGAGCCTATTGCAATTAGTGGATAAGAGAAATGCAGACACCCTTATAAAGATCATAACTGAAAATGTTGATAAGGGATCAGTTATTATTCCGATATGTGGGCCGCGTACAACAGTTTGGAATCAATTGTATACACCCATGTAAGTCATTTCAAGGAATTCAAAGTAAATCAGGATGCTGTACAATTACTATAGAAGGTTTATGGGGATTAGTTAAGCTCAGAATTAAGAAGATGAAAGGTGTTTTGCCCGAAAGACTACCACTTATCATTGATGAATTTATGTTCCGTTACCGACACGGACATTCTAATGGCGATATATACTATAAATTTCTTTCAATTTTAAAATTATGAATTATAAAAGCAACACACTTACTTCATGTGAGGTGGGAGACACGCTTTAGGGAAGAGGAAAAAGGGGAACAATCAATTAGAGAAGCGGGAAAAATTGGACTGCTTTGTCTCCAACCTCTTATCGATGGCTAAGAGCACAAATCGTATAAGTCCTTTTTTCTTGTTTTGAGATATTCGCATTTTAAAGTTTTAAACAATTCGTACCAGCACATATTTAGAGATAGATTCACAATATTTTGATAATACAATGCATATGGCATACTGTTATAGTTTCGCAAACAAAATTTTACTGAAATTGTTTTTTTAGGGGGTGGGGACACTTAATTGGACATATTCTGATTGTGTACTGAATAATTCGTAAAAACTGTGGACTTATCCCATTTTGTCTGCTCTATAACAGTGAATATTTCATGAAATCAAAGAGATTTAGTTTTTCATCTTCACCTAGAATTCAAAAAGGATATAGTTTCTGCTTTCTGCGATCAATAAAATTGCTAAATCTCTATCAGAAACAAAAAAACAAGACCGAGTAATTCCATTTTTCTTCATTCATTTTATTGTTTACGTTGTAAAAGAGTAGACCATTTTAACAGTCAAGTTGCTTATTTTTAAAGGTGATAATAATACAATGAATTAAATGTAACATTTTTATTGCTTANA